CGAAGAAAAAGATATAACGCATGATGCATTCATTTTGTCCTCAAATTGGTACGATTTTTGACACTCCGATTGTTGCGCCCAGATTTGAACGCCATTAACGAGATTTGCATTGTAAGGAAATTAAATTAAAATTTAATTTCAAGGGAATCCAAATAGCAAAACGGTTGCATTTTTAGCTATACTGAATTATTGTAGAAAAATGAGTGCTCTTAACTACGGATGAGTCTTTGGGACTTTTCGAAAGAACGATAGCTTCATAGAAAGGAAGCAAGTGGAGGAGTGATTTAGGGAAACAAAGAAATGATAGGAAAATACAAAATGCAACGTCTATGATGGACAAATTACAGCCGACAGCCAAGCAAAAATTTTGACTTCCTTCAAGAATTTGTAAAAAGGAATGCCGCCGAAATATTGTGCCTGTCCCTCATAGACATCAAGTGCAATCAACATGGCAAACAATAGACTGTTGTTCACTCCTTCTTTTTTGCAGCAAGGAAAGCGCTTTGTCGAGCTTGGCTGGCACAAAACAGCTTGTCCACTTTCGAAGGATTAGGACACTGCGTATAGGGACTGCACACTTCGTGTCGCCTGAAGCATCTGGCCACATTTGCACACATATATATTGGGAATCCGTGTATTCTGCATTCTGCAATAACAGTAAATCTTATTTCCTGCCCAAAAAACCACTTCATTATTTCATAATTCATTGTAGCACTCGTTTGGTCGTACACTGCTCAATTTTTTGAAGTGACCGTCATCAAACCGTCTCGTATCAATTGGTCAAAAGTATGCACTTATGTCCAATGATAACGATGCGTTTACCTGCACAACTACATCTTTGTTCATCGTTACTGTCGGGACAGTCAGTAACACCATCACAACGCTTCGTGCTCACCATGCAAGTTTTCGTTGGCGCACAGTAAACAGCATCTGGATTTACGCATTTCTCACAGTTTCTCTCATCCTCACCATCCGGACAATCCTCGTAACCATCACAACGTTGCGACTATAATTATTAAAAATTATGGGGAATTCAATCCGTGAAATTAATTTTTAGATAGCAAAGAACTAACCAATAAAATGCACTTAGTCGTCCCGCCACGAGTATACACCTTGCATTGCATTGTGTCTCCTAAATGCTTCAGAGCAGCGCAGTCACAGTTCGTCTCGTCGGAATTGTCGCCACAGTCGTCCAGGCCATCACATACCTGAACTATCAAGCAGTAAGAATAACGTCTGCTCTTTCCCTTCTCCTCATTAACTTAAAGTGCCTCAAATAAACATCTGACTGTTCTGTGATGTCTGATGGAAATGAATAAATAACAAACCAAATTCTTTTCGATGCATTTATGATTGCTGCAAGTAAATGCCATCTCTTTGAAACACTCATTACACTTCCCTTCGCACTCATTCAATATTCCACTGCAAGCATACTTTCTATGATACAGAATACCACCTCGGCATCGGATAAAATCCTTAAATGTAGTAATATGAAAACAAAATACAACTATTTTTTGCGGAAAAATCACGAGATATTTCAGTTCTGGGTAGAAAGCTGGTTTTTGTACATATGAATAAATTTTTGAAATTACAAGAAACCAAATTTGCTTCAGACTTAGGCGGAGTTTGTTCCCAAAAGTGTCTTAAGAAAATAAAAAGCTTTTAAAATTGCTTCTTCTTGGAACCTCTTTTGAGCTATGTGCGCAACTTCCGGGACAGTTAACTTCATCGTCTCCACCAGGACAATCCTCATTACCGTCACAAACCTGCGAACGTTCGATGCAAACATTGCTGTTATTACACAATGCCTTTCCGATACCTGAGCATTCTCTGCATGTGCAATCCTACAAAAATCCACATAAATGGTGGTAATATATTTTTGTCGCTTTATTTATCCATACAAGAACTTTGAGCTTGAAGTCTTTTTTCCTGAGTGCTAGATGGTATTTTTGAGAATTAACATCGAACTTTATGAAAGAAAACGTTATTGCACTGAATTCGGCAGAAAAATGAAACAGTTGCATGATTGATTTTGGGGAACTTCAGATTTTACAGTTTATGTTGTAAATTAAAGTAGCTCTCCTCATCCTACCATTTCATCCTTGCCATCCGGGCAATTTTGAACGCCATCACAAATTTGCCACTTGGGTATGCACTTTTTCTTCTCCTCACACCATAATGCGCCTCCGCTACATTTACCATCACAGTTCTTCTCATCTTCTCCGTACTTACACTGCACATCACCATCGCATATCTGCTCGTGGGCCAAGCATATACCTGTCTTACCACATCGTACTTCGTGTCTTGAGCATTCTTTTTCTGCAAAAATCAAGTTGATTTTGCTTTTCGAAGATATATGAATGAAAAAATAAAGTAATGGCTACAACTAACCAATATTGCCAAACCACACACATATAACAACTTACTGCAATAACGCTCCTCGTCAGAACCATCTGGACAGTCAATATTTCCATCACATAAACGGTAACCCCGTAGACACAACGAATATCTCGATGAAATGACTCCATGTGTTGTACTGGAACAGTTGATCGACGTGTGACACACTAAAATACTTCCATTAGTTGTACAAAAATCACTATATACATTTAAAGAATTTTATTGCTGTCTTCAGTAATGGATAAAGGGAATGAAGCTATTGAAATGGTACATTTGCATCCAGTTTCGTCGCTTCCATCTGGACAATCTTCGACACCATCGCAACGTTGCAATGTTCCAATGACAAGACTCTAGTATGGAGCAAATTTTTATTTTTTATTTCCTCCACTAGATGATCAAGTCAATTCAGTGAATACTTACTAATAGCTTACGTTTAACTAATTGATTGTTTGATATTCTTATGGCACCATTAAAATTGCTTAATTATCATGAATTCCAAAGAATTTTATCGAAGAACAACTAACTTACCGGTAAATTTGTGCATGAAAACCCATATCCCCTGCACAGCGTAATATTCGGAGGAATCATCGACTTAAAGGACCTAAGGTGTAGCGACAGGTCAGCACTGGGCCAGTTCGACTGTGCTCTAATGATCTCCACCGTCTGACTGTCATTCAAGGATGTCGACGACTAAATTGATTCATCCAATTATTTCAAACTTCAGATTTTTACCAATCCATGTGAAAATAATACAGAATTCAAAAATTCAAAACACCGAGTCCTTACATAACCACGTATGATGAACGATGCAATCAGGAACGGCAAAATGATTAAAATAGCCAGAAGGATCAAAATACCGACTAGAAAGGCAACTAGTGGTATATTATTCAGCCACGTACAACAACTAATTTCAGATAAGTAATCCTTGAAATTTTCGATCTTCAAAACGAAAGCAAAGCAGCACTCCTGATCTTTGTTCTCCCTGGAAATTGACGTTGTGGATTAGAATTAACCGCATATTGGAAATTGTAATCCTTGATTGCAGATCAAATTTTTTAAGACTTCGAAATATTCAGCATTTTACGGCAAGTTGTTCAGTTCCACCTGCAGTCCATTAGCGGGCAAATTAAAATAATTGATTAATTGGCTGATTAAACCATAAGCTTCTTCGAGAAGTGTCTCATGTGAAATTACGTAGTCGAAAGAAACAAACGACTAATGTCTAGGCTACTGTAATATTCATGCATGAAGGTTGCACTAATTTTGGGGATGAAATATATGGAATGAAAAATTGCCTGAAACATTAAAATATGCTGTTGGACACATTCACAAACGTACCTGTCAATTCCAAGGGATCCACCAACACTGTCCGGACGCTGATTATACCGTGGAGATTTGCCATCCATATTTTTTATGGATACCGGACGTATCGCAGTGTGTGACTGAAGTTAAAGTTAAATACGATACATGTACAAATATATTGGCCATTGATACATTGTGAATGAGGAACCACAGCTCATTTCAAACAATTTGATATATGTCCCAGGTTTATAAGAGCCACTGCAAGTTTTTGGGTTTTTGCAATTGAACTGAAGTTAGAGCACCAACCGTAACTGGATTATTTGGGTCGTATGAACCTCGATGTGCATTCATGTGAACTGAGGGAGAGTTATCCAGTTCGCAGTTAATTCCTGCTATGGGTATTTTCTGAAAAGAACTACAGTACTTTTAGCTGTGATATAAACTCTAAGCATCTTTTTTTCCTACGGAATATCCAGACTAGAAAAGTAGAAATCATAAAACTGGGAAAAAACCAAAGATGACTTTAGTCCAATGAACATGAGCAGGAAATTATTAAGAATATGCTAATTAACCTACAACATGCCCTAACCGAGACACGCAACATTGGAAAACTGGTGGTAATGAATAGAGCATTTGGAGAAATACACAAGGAAGCTACCTCCCGCCTGGATGAACTGTTCGAATAGTGTCCTCGTCATAGAATTTGACCTACCGGGAACCTTTTCTTTCAACTCTTAATCCCGCTAGTAGTCTTCCAACCATACATATCTCCTACATGTTGCGCTCAGTGCTCTGCCTTTCCATGCACGAATAGTTAGGAGCGTTGCTATATTATAAAATACACGAATGTACACATGAAAACATTCATCCATAAAAATTTTGTTTTTCCACCTAATTGACTTTAGTAATTAGTCTCTCATTTTGTAGTTCGAAACCACGGAATGCTTTTGTTAGCAGTTAGCAGATTTGAAGTTGATTACAGTTTTTGAATTTCAATGAAAATTGGTCGACTTTAGATGCAATTTTCGTTAAGCAATTTATACTAGTTTTTCTGGTTCGCAGCTCAAGAAAAAGACTGAATATGTGAATGATCTTGTATCGGAAAATGAATGCAATTATATATGACTAACCAAATGATGCATATTAGTTACCGATGTACAATTGCAATGGTTCGAGAATGGTGGGAAGGTTCTTTTAAATGATGTTAAAGGAATGCGGAAAGCTAAATAACATTCATTTCGAATGCGTAATTGCCACCATATTTTTAATGATTACTAGGTCATGCTCCCAATTTTAATACACTTTATATATACTTCTTTATAAAATTCCCTCACTTAGCCATTCCTATTTCATTTTCCTTATCGCCTCGTCTTTGCTATCAAATTGTAAATTTCACATCTTCATAAAGATTATGCTTTAAAATTTGAATAGTTTTTCTTGAAAATCCAATGAATATTATTTACTAAAATGTGTAAAAAAAGGTTCAAAAAAAGTGAACCCCTTCCTAATTTGTATTTTGTGGTTAACAACCATGTCATTTATATTTTGTCGTACATTATATCACAGATTCATGCGTATATCATAATTACATTTGTCAACTTGCACAATATGCAGTCTCAACAGCTTGTCACAATGCAAAGGTGGCACTAATTGAGTTGTTTTTGGAAGTTTCACAAAAAGTGAAAACGATACAGTCTCAATAAAACCCAATAAATATGACTATCCAATAAAGCAATCATCTTGCGCGAGTTAGCTGACTAAAAGTCTTTTTTAGTAATTTGGTTTCGGTTCTTCCCCTGTTGCAATATCATTGGCATTACACTGCTTTCATAACCGGATGACATCGATAATGTGACACTAGCAGGAATTAGCAAATTTTTCTCAGACAAGCATTTCAACTAAATTCAATTGAATGGAAATACTTTCATAATGCCAATAAGCAGAAAAATGAGACTTATCCTGACTTTTTTTGCAAGTATGCTGTCGAAAGGTTGGCTACTGTTCATTATTAAATTATCTGTAATATATACATGTATGTATTTGCATATATATGTATATGTATTCTCTTTCCCTTTGAAAAAAAAATCTCTGAACCAATATATGCAAAAATCTCTTTCATTTTCACTTAAATTTGCTAGAAGCATATAAAGAGATATAATAAACTAAAAAGATATAATAATAAAAAGATATAATGATAAATATAAACTAAAAAGATATAATAATAAAAAGATATAATGATAAATATAAACTAAAAAGATATAATAATAAAAAGAATATAATGATAAATATAAACTTAAAAAGATATAATAATAAAAGATATAATGAT